GCAATCGTTCTCATTGTTACCGAGAATACCAATTCTAGCTTTACCCAAATCAGAACGACCGCTGACCACATTGAATCCTTCTCTGTTACACAGAGGTTGTAAAGCAGCCTGTGCACCAATAAGCGATAGCCATGCACTACGACCCAATGAGGTAGAGCGATGAGCTCCGTCAGCGATCAACGAATACAATGAACTGGCCTGCTTGGTTAAGACTAAGAATCTTGTTTCCTGATTGATTTTCATTCCGAGACAAATCTTGCTAAAGGGTGTGTTCCAATAGGTTCTTAACTTAGTCTCTTGGGAGTCGAAGCCAGTCTCTCCCCCAGGAAGGTTGTATTCATTTGCGAGGTTCCAGTATGAAGATCGGAAGTGAAATGTTTGCTAAAACAAACAAAAACATCAAGGAAATTCCAGTAGCAGAAAAAAATCTACGCACAAAATAAGTAAAAAGAGAAAAAGAAATAGAAAAAGTTGTTTCAGTTAACGGTCGAAGGAAAAAAGTTTTTGCTTGATTTGCGTGCATCTGATATAAAAGAAAAATGAGTAACTTTTGCAAGAAATCGTTCAGAAACAAAGTTGAAGTTCAACTTCTTTGTTATTAGCCAATATTGTGTGCCTCCGATGTACGAGCTCAAAATTTACTCTATTTTTGTTGTTTGTACGCACAAGACACTATCAACAATGTTGGTCCTAGCCGTGTGTAGACGCATTTCACAAGTGAACCTACCGATTGCCTGCTCACTACAGCGTTCCCAGCGATTTACTGATTTATCATTAATACACCAATAAATCATTGTACCACGAGATGTAGACCTGAGGTTTGAGTCCTTTGGAGGAACTTCTAGTCTATTGGTGATGAAATGAATCACAACTTTCCTTGTACAGCTTACCTTGTTACCATCCATTTTTATGACTGTTGTCCATCCACCACCGCCACACCCAAAATTCCCCATGTGACAATAGACGGAGGTCAGTTTTCCTCCAACAAAGAGAGAATATCGTCGACTGGGTGCATTTGGCCTATAAAAATAAGACAAACAGACAGCCAAAGAACTAAAACAGGGTAGAACACGAGTAAGCTAACCCAGGATTGATCTTTGATTTAGTTTTGTTGCTTTTCAGACAGCCAGATTTGTAAATCACAATTTGTTGTTGTTTTAGAATGCATTTCAGTTTTTAAAAATCCCCTGAAAAAATTAAACCCAAACATAATTTCTCAGGTCATAACGTTGTTTAATTTAAGTTTTCACTGATAAATGCAGCAAAACATAAAATGGTAATGAGATGCAACTCAATGACTTACAGCGACTGGTACACATCGTTGCACGAGCGTAATGCTGAAAGCAATAAAAAATAGTATTTTACTGAGTGATGAAGCTTGGACAAAAAATTAAGACATCCAAAAATTGAATGGATTTGTGCCGGGTGATATTTTGAGTTGCATATATTCTTATTCCTAATGCTTCCATTTTTACAGCATTGCAAAGGAATTCGGCAAACAGAGTGGGTGCAGGAGTCGGTTGCAACGAAACCCGTTGCTAAGTTTGCCTGTGTGTAGATAAAAATAGCGGACATGTGACAGCTTTATGAAAAGTTGATAAAACTTAATGGTAAGAACTTACTTGTTTGGCAGTAAATCGCGCCATAGCCGGGCTGGCAGTTACAGACATATCCGTTCACGTGATCAACACACGTCCCTCCGTTTACACAAGGATTACTTGAACATTCGTCGATGTCTGTGCGGAGAAACATTTAGAACTTGAAATTATGATATAGGAGCAGCTGGTTTATCAGTAAAGCACTTAAGTAATGGACAGCATTTCCTATCCACTTACTGACTACATAACATACTTCAGATGATGAAGTAGATTGAAATCAGTTCACGCAAGTTTAAACAACAGTTCTTTTCGCAATGTTATGTCTACATTTTTTTAACATCATTGCTTGCAAAAAGCACTAACTCATGGTCTCAGTTTGAAAATCTGGACTCCTACTGATTTTTTCTCCTACCTGTTTCACAGAGCGATCCACTATATCCAGAATGACAATCGCAGTAATACTGATTTTCACCATAATTTGGAACGCA